CAATGTTGCAAATAGTCCATCTTACTATAGCATGATGCGTTCTGTCAGCAATTACGAAGCAGGTTTTAAGCCATTATCTATGCATGACCTCCATACATAGATATTGAAAGCAGAGTATGATGCAACCAACGATGTTGTGGAAGGAGTGTAAAAGGCATGGGCACATACTGGAGTGACTATTATGTCTAATGGTTGGAGTGACATCAGAAATTGAAGCCTTTTAAAAATTGTTGTCAATAATCAATTTGGGACAGTTGTCTTAAGATCCGTTGATTCATCGGATGACTTAAATATGCAAACTATTTGTTCCAATTGCTGGATAGTACTGTTGATGAAATTGGGGAAAGGTGCTGGGAAATTGCAAACAAAGAAATTGACAAGCTTGTATTGGACTCACTTGTATTGCTGGGAAATTGTGGGTTATTGACGACAACACCATGGGAAATGATGAACTTGCACTGGATGTTGATGAAATGAATAATGAATTCAAAGGTCAATTAACTTTTTTTTAAGAATGAGCTTGCAATAAATTCAATTGTTTAGTTGTATATAATTCAAGTTAGGCTTGTAGGGGCACATGTTACAAATGGCACAGATAGAAATAATGATGCAGATGCTGATGATGGAGATGAAATTGACGAATCCCTTGAAAATATGGATGATGTTGCTGAAATGAGCAATGATAGTCTAAGTTTTGAAGTACAAAACTTGGGAAACTCAAATTGTAGTCTCAAAATGATACCATGAATTATGATTATCTTATTGCCTTTTTATTTTGACCCCTTTTTTAGTTTCAATGAAAACTTATACATGACTTTATGACTTATTTGACATAATTATGGATTATGCATTTTGTTGCACTGAAAAGTTTTTTTATTGTTATTTTTTTCAAGTTGAACTGAGGCTTATGCCTCGTTCCGCCTCGAGGCATACACCTTGAGGCAACTTGCTCTACCACCTCGAGTTCAGTTTTCAGCTTTTAAAACCTTGACAACAACAACAAGAATAGATAATACCGGAACCCTCCACCTTTGATTCCTCGTCCGACGAACTGTCTTTCCTAACAGCCAGAAAAGACGAGCAATGCAGCGCTTATTTGTGAGATTTCCAGGGATACCAATGTCAACATAGCGCATTGAAGCATCCACATCAGCAAATGCAATGACAGGTATCCTGATGTTGGAGTAGAAAGCTTCTGCGACAGCCTGCAAGAAGAATTCAGACTCCATAAATGAGATAAAGTGAAGCAAAGAAAGGAGGATCACAATAACCAAAAAAGGAAAACCTTGCGATCAGTTTTGGAATCAGCAACAATGAGGAGGCGAGGCTTAATAGACGATGAGTGCAGCTTAGCAGCAAAAGTTTCAATGCTGTTGTCTCCTTCAATGGCAGTAGCACCAATTTGTTTAGCAAACTCTTTGACAGCTTTTTGAGCAAATGGCCGTGCAGACAGAACAAATATGTCCTTGTGCTCCTCAATGGGAATGGCATTGATAACCCTGGCAGCGGTGAGGGTTTTGCTCCATGTTCTGAACAAGTCAACTATACAATGCTCTGCACCATCAAGGGTAATATGAAATGCTTCTTCAATGTCGATGTTAGGGCAACCATTGGGTAATTCAAATGAAAATGTTTGAGCCAAAATAACAATGTTCAATACTTGAACATCGATGTTAGGCGTATTTTCAGTAGATCCACTTTTGATTTAAATCCCACAACTCATGGAAATCAACCTCTATCTTCTCCCATTCGTTAAAGCTCATTTTGTGGTATAAAAAGGGATCCTTGGGTCTACTTTCAACACATAAAACTTCACAAATTCATTATTCTTTCATCGAATTGTTTATTAATATTTTCCATAGCTTATGAAAGCCATTTCGTGATGTTTTTGTTGTATCCTGCAGTGTTCTTAGTTTACTCATAATCTACTCTTGAGAAGAGTTTTTGTTCTTGAGTGTAGTATACACTTGAAGGGGACTTTGTTCCCTTGCATTTATTGTTCCTAGAAATCACCAAAAAATAAGCTAACAACAGAAATCCAAAAGAACTATAATCAGTTTAGTGTTGTGGTGCAATTACTATTCAACATGAAGCATAAGAAAGGGAAAAGATGTACTCCATATGTAGTGCGAAAAAATTAAGCAATATGTAAGCTCAAATCAAACAAAAAAAATCAACATTAATTCAAAGAATCAAATGTCTGAACATAAAAAAGTTCTGCCAGTGAGAACAAACTACTATCAATGAGAATTGTCCTCTTAAAAGGGGTAATATAGAACTTTCAATTTTAGACATGATTTGAAAACATGAGACTAAGATAAGCACAGGCACGCACACATACCTTCTGTCTCCGTGTAGACATACCGCAACATATCATAGTGGAAGTCTTTTTTGCACAATCTTCTTCCGCCCACTGTTCTAGTACCGACATCTTTGATAGTGTTTGTGCAAGCCTGAAAAAAGGAAAGGATTTCATTTGTTTGTGAATAGCCTGAAAAAGGAGGGGGCCAGACCAAAGACATAAATAAAATAAAGGGAGGACAGAAGACCAGACCTATTAGTAGTAAATTTTAGACCGAACCACACTGAAATTGAGTAGAGCAAACTGATTAAGACCGAGGACTGAAAATGCAAAATTCTCCCTCCATTCCAAACATGGGTTGGGTGCTCTTAGAGTTTTTTTTTACAATAACAAATAGAAAATCAACAAATTTGCCAATTTCTGTCTAAAAGTCCAAACTTCGGAAACATCATATAGAGAACGACTTGATTCCGTGATGAAGAAACTATAGCTAAAGAGTCTGAACTTCTGAACAAAGCCAAAAGAGAAGAAAAAACACAATTCACTGGATCAACAAATCAGACTAGAGTTACATGTGCATTTTAATTCCAACCTGCCAAAAAACTTCAGAAAGAGGGAAAAAATATAGACCAGATTCGACATAACCCAACCAACAGTTAAACGCAAGTAGTTTAATAGACAACCGCACAACCAAAGGATTCCAACTTTTAAAGAAAGAAACCTTACCAGTAGATCCACGGATCTAGAACAGATGTATGCGCACAATTCTCAGTCTTGCCAGAAAAAAGAACACGGATCCAACTCCAACTCGGACTCAGCAGAGAGTTGTATAGAGAATATATAGATGGTCCGACTCGGACTCTCAAATGCGGAGGCCGGTCCCCGTCGTTTGAAACTGCCGCGTAATAGGAAAACCTAGATGCGGTCGTGCGTCGTTTGCTTTTAGTCAAACAAAGTAAATTTGAACTTTAATTAAATGAAAATTGTAAAGTATAATTGTATAAAAAAGTTTAGAATTAAGCTAGGGGTACCCCATATTGGTGTACCCCTAGCATTGCCCAAAAGTTTAATTAGATTAATCTGCTGGAAAACTTTCATAGTCTTAGTTAATTGTATCGATATGCAATACAAATTAAGAGTAATTGAATCTCAAAGTTTGTCGAGTAATTGAATGTCAAAGTTTGTTTAATTTAACGTGAAAAGTTAAACTGAACAAAGAAACTATGACAGATGTAGTATATCGCAAAATCTTAAGTTCCAATTTGGATGAAGAAATCACCTTATGTAGCACTCTAAGAAAATCCAATAGTACACATATAGCACTCTTTATTGGTTTGCACACATTTAAATATTCATAGCGTGGAACTCTTCTAATCATACCTTTTTATTATAATGTAGTATTTTAATTGTATGGAGTATCATTTACCATATTTATCGATATCCATAATTTTAGGAGCGTATTCTCATTCCTTGTACGTAACACTTGGAACCATCGTGCTAGTCCTCACTGCTTAAACACATTTAATGAATGAAATTGGAAGCTTGTACTAACTTTTTTGGCAGTGTGAAATGATCATGTTATGCCTACACTTGTTGACAGTGTGTTATGTCCCTATGTTTTGGACAGTGTGTTATGGTTCAAATAATTAACTACACTTTTTGAACAATGTGTTATGGTGCACTTTTTATTTATTCTTAATTTGGATATGTACTCTGATCCATCAATCAAGATCACACATATAGTTAACATATTGGATTCATCTTTATAAGATGTATCCTGATTGTGATATTGGATATCAAAACACATTCCATTTCGGCCCAAGGTCCAAAAATAATTTATTTTAATAAAAATAGTTTTGTTTAACAATTCAACCAATAATACTTGTAGGGTGTGTTTTGGGGCTTTACAGTATTCGTATACGTACCCCAAACGCATAAAACGTATAATAAGACATATTTTTTTAAAAGTAATCCGTATTATACACAAATTAAAGTATGAATAATGTATTATACCCGTATCCGAATAAGCTAACAACTACTCTAAGATTATGGGGTGTGCGAAAATATGTACATACCCTATTTTCGATTGAAACCTGCAAATATAAGATCGGTTGGCATTTACTGGTCTGGTCTTCTATTTTTTGGAAGGGAACGGTCTTCTGGTTTAAGAAATTAGGGATCCTTAGTAAAGAAAATTGTCTTGCATATAAATTTCCTCTTTTTCCGTTTTGCAAAGGAAAAGATAAACCTTTCCAGTGAAATACAAACAGATACAGGTTTAATGAATAAGCATATCATCTCATGTCATGAAACTACATATACGATTTTTTAAAAGAACAGTAAAGAAGACTACAAGCTCTTAAACTTTTAAAAAGTTTTTATAAATAATAATCTTTAAAAGAAAACATTATGGCTATCCCGGTAGCTCAAAGACGACAATGGCCGATGCTCTTTGGACCTCGATGTTGGTTTGCCCTTTTAGGATTCTCACTATGAAATTTATAGTAATTTCGTTGAACGAGTTTGCACTTTGTACCCCAAACTAGTTACTAATGTATAATTAAATAAAATATCATACGAGTATTAAATAAAAATTGAGTAAATTTCGTAATTGATCTTTTATAATATGAAGTTTTTCTTATTTAATCTTCTATCATCAAATATTAACTAGTAGTCTTTTGTTTATATGTATCTTTTCTTAAATAGTCTATTTTTTATTTTATGTCATGTTAATGTTAATTTGAATGCTAAAAATATAATTTCACACGGATCTTATATCATTCTTGTTGTATACTACCTCCGGTCCAGTATATTTGTCGAGTTTGGTCTTTTCGAGTCAAACTGGATAAATTTTAAACTCTAATTACCCTCAATTTATATTGCATATTAGAATAATGAAATACAATTTTGAAAGTTCTCAATACAATAAATTCAATAACGTCATTTTTTACGTTAAATTACATTACGATTTTTATTTATTTGAAACTCAAAGTTTGTCCAGTTTGGGTTACATTTTAAATGCCGCTTGTGCCATTGCAGTGGCTTTCTACTACAAAAATAAAGTACGGACCATCAGAATTCTAGTCCATCATATTCTTTATCATTGTTGTATTATACGGAGTAATTTACATTATTGTTGTATCGTTACGTGTTTAATTTACTTGCTCACCGTGACTATCCCGGCAAAGGCCGATGACGGTGGCAAATGCCTTGGTAAGTGGTAACAAAGGATCCAGCTTCTTGTCTACTCCCTCTGAGATAGCTTTCAGATCCGATCCGCTGCGAAGGCGCAAAGGTGAAATGGCGGCAGTGAAGGACCTTGCCCGCAGTAGCAAGTTGCTACAAGACTAGACACCACGACGGCGTCGTTTTGCAGCTTCCGAGCTAATCCGAGCTTCATCTCCTCCGTACTCTCATTTCATGTTTCCTCTTCTCTCTTCATTCAATGCCAGTAAGTTTCTCGTGAATCTGTGATTCATTCATAAAGTCTCTCAAGTTTCGTTTCCCGTGAGAGCTTCTATTTCTATGCCTGCTGTCTTATCCGCTTTCAGCTTTTCATTTTCAGTGAGAACCAAATCTGTGATCTTCATCAGGACTTGGCTACTTCCCCATTTCCCTGGACCACTGCTTGCTGTTAAACTCTAGGTTTTACCCATTTTGATTTGGATCTTCTTCATGCATTTAGGTACTCTCTGATTGAGTACTTTAAATTAATTTATTGTTTAGTTATTTCATTTGTTGCCGACAACAATGTTCTATGGCAATCATAATTCAGCTCTTCTTACCAGTTCCAGATCTCTCTAAGCTTTCCGCTTAGGAAGACTGAATTTGAGGCATTTGAAGTTGTGCTTTACATTTACCGCTCTTTTTAAATGCACTTTTGGAATTGAGTTTTTGCTCAAAGTGCATGAGAAAATCATGTTTGATATTTAGAATACTGCAGATTTATATGCATTTAGGCATGTTTGCTCAAATATAGCTAGTTTTTCAAAAGCCTTTCAGTTCATTTGGCATCATGATGCTCACTACATCTATCACGTTATTTTTTTGAGCAGTACTTAGGATGCTACACTATTGAGTTGATAAACAAAGATTCGATTTGAAGGAAATGGAGCAATATGAAATCCTTGAGCAAATAGGAAAAGGGGCTTTTGGGTCTGCCCTTCTTGTGAGACATAGACTTGAAAAGAAAAAGTATGAATATCTGTGCCCCACTGTAGTTTTATTCTTTGTGAACTGCTTTTATTGTTTTAGTTCAACTCTGTATCTGAAGTATGGTAAGTGATCTGCCCTTTCATTTTACTGTTCAAAATAAGGTATGTTCTGAAGAAAATTCGTCTTGCTCGCCAAACTGACAGAACACGTCGAAATGCACACCAAGAGGTTTGTGTTCTTCTTTAAATGTGTCCGGGAAAATTAGTTTTGTGGAAATTACATTGAATCAGAGATTTTTTTACTTGCTATTGACTTAAAGTGAAAGTGTATTGACAAAGATGTGCAAGAATGAGGTTTTTATTGTTTGGGATAATTACCTGAACTTAACGTGCAAATATTTTATTATATCGGTGCCGGAATATGCAACTAAGAGAGCTGTCAAATTGTGTGTACTAAGATCATACTTGGAATGCCTATGGACTAATCTTCTATTTTAATCTGCAGATGGCACTCATTTCAAAAATGAAAAATCCATTTGTTGTGGAGTACAAGGACTCTTGGGTGGAGAAGGTTAGTTCTATGACTTAATATTTTACTTCATTCATACATCGTATTTAATGCCTTTTGTTTTGGATGATCTGCTAGTGTAGACTGTTGACAATTGAGATCATTTCATTGCTGGAGAAGGGAATGCCCCATTTTTGCCATTGTAGTTGGAATGTTTTAACAAGCAATTTCGTAAATGTTTAAAGAACTTCCGTTTCTTTTCATTCTACTTAGTTGTGTTCTATAATTTAGGAAATAAATTTATAGGGAGGGAAATAACATTTTTTCAAGCTCAAAATAATACAATCTACTCTTTTTTGAAACCAATTTGCTTGTTTTCTTATTGCCAAGCGGATATCTGTTTTCACTTTGAATTGCATACGTTTTCATAGAAATTTATTGTTATTGATCTGAACCATGCCACCCCCCTATACTATAAATTGAATTGCATGCATTCAGTGGTGCTTGATCCCTCAGCAAGTTTTGTGGAGTGCACAAGTACCTTATCAAGTTATTAAATACTGACATAGTGCCTTATCTTACAGGGCTGCTACGTGTGCATAATCATAGGTTACTGTGAAGGTGGTGATATGTGAGTTAGCTTAAACATACAGCTTGATAAGTTCTAGTTATATTAACTTCATTTTTTTAAATCTTGAAAGTACCAATGCAGATATCAACAGTTTCCATATCTTCTGAACCTCTTTTTCTCAAATAATTTGCAGGGCTGAAGCAATTAAAAAGGCAAATTGTATCCATTTCTCTGAGGAGGTAAATTGTTTACAGTCTCACGGCTTTTACCTCTCATGATGAAAATATGCTCATTGTTAAGGTTTAATTACTTCTAACATGTGCCCTTTATAGAAGCTATGTAGATGGCTTGTTCAACTGCTAATGGCTCTTGACTACTTACACATGAATCATATTCTTCATCGAGATGTCAAGGTTATTTGCATATATCTTCCTTGTTGCTAAATTCTGAGATAATTGTGTTTGAACTTTTGGAGTTGAATGTTATCCACTTTTGAATATTTTTCATGCAGTGCTCAAATATTTTTCTAACCAAAGAGCAAGATATTCGTCTTGGTAAGTATGCATTTTCTTTGTGTTGATTTGTGCATCTTGTAAGTAACGTAGGGAGATAATTACGCAAGACACATGCATGTGATCCTTTTACAGGTGATTTTGGACTTGCCAAGATGTTGAGTTCTGATGAACTGGCTTGCTCTGTAAGTTACAATTGGAGTGTTGACTGTTCTTAAAATACCTAGTTTCTGCATTTCTTTAATTGGTTTTTGCTGGACCTATTGTTGCAGATTGTTGGAACTCCCAGTTATATGTGCCCTGAGCTTCTTGCTGATATACCTTATGGCTCTAAATCAGACATCTGGTCTTTAGGTATGTGAAATAGATGTCAGATAACAAGCATATGTGGTCTCTAGGTATATTAGTGAATTGGATATCAGAAAGAAGGCTATACATACAAGAGTTGCTGTTCTTGTTTGAGGAGTGAGTATATCATGCATTCCTGCTACATGTTTACACTTAAATATAAGTAAATTTGTTTGTTGCAGGATGCTGTATTTATGAAATGGCTGCACTGAAGCCTGCATTCAAGGCGTTTGTAAGTTTCTTTGTATTGTCTATTTCTTTTCCAGTGCTTTGTTTCTCCATAAATTTTTATTGTCCATTCTTTTATATGAGCTTTTGACATGGATAAACAAAACAACTGCATTCCCTGCAAATACCTGAGTTGGAGGATTGCATACACTCCAAGCATTGTAGTTGTATACATCCCTTGTCTGCTAGCAACAGTATGACCAATAATATTTTGGCACATTGATCAAGGAGCCTAAGTACTGTATTACCATTTACCAATAATATTACCAATTTCTTGGTTAATATGAGTGGCACTAAATGCAATAATATTATTGGTAAATGGTAATACATATTGACCAATTAGAAAATCTTCATTTGTTGGGTTTTTAGTGAATCCTGGTTAATGTATATTTTTGCTATAATCTATTGTACGGAGTATGATAATTTGACTCCGGATTCATTATTTTTTACCTCCCTTTGTGTTTCCAGAAGATCCTCCATTGGTTTAGTCGGACAATCTATGTCATTTTGTTTGACAGTCACTTTTTCTTCCATGTGTGTATTTAATAATTATTTGTTTGTATTGTGTGAATAGATTTGTCTTTTTCACATGCTGATATTACTTTTTTTTCCAATTTTGTGCTATGGAACTGAAAAAGCATCCTACTTTTTGTAATAGGATATGCAAGCTCTAATCAACAAAATAAACAAGTCTATAGTGGCACCCTTACCTACAAAATATTCTGGTCCATTGTAAGTTCTCTTTATCTTTATTGGCACCAAATTTGTTTGATTATAATAGTTACATATTTGATACATCATTATATGTTGTGTTTGTTTTTATTTCCTACTTCATCAATAGCTCAATTTTCCTTCTAGTAGTAGAAGTTCAAAGTTGACAACACTATGGTTCTCACCCCCACCCCCCCTAAAAAAAGAGAGACATCTGTTTGTTTTACTTATTTCAGCATTACAAATATGACTTTTTTTGGGGTCTGAGATAAAGTATTTGGTTAGGTTATCTATTCCACCAAATTTATGCATCTATTTTGGTAACCCATTAAAAGCCACCGCCAATGACTTGTCAGCACTAAACATTGCAGGCAATTCGTTCAATTTATGGTTCAATATTTGGTCTTCTAGTTCAGTGATGTGCCAATAGATTATTTTCAGAATTTTTTAATGTAATTTTTTAAAGGCGAAAGGAATCCAAAAATGCCACAAGTCTGAAGCTGTGTGGAGTCTTTAGTAGCCCGCTGTGCTCTACTTAACTTTTGGCATTTTCTTCAGTTGCCTTTGCCTGCTATTGGATTATTTTCTTTAGTTGCCTGCTGTGCCCTATCTAACTTTTTTTTACTTCTTTTCCTCCCAGTCGTAGTCTTGTAAAGAGCATGCTCCGGAAAAATCCAGAAATACGGCCTAGTGTATGTGGTCTCATTTATCCACTTTTTGTACAACTACCTGACATTAGAACAAACATGCCATTGGCTTTGCCATTCAATTATAACCCACAACTGTACAATTGACATGGCAGGCTGCAGAGCTTCTTAAGCACCCACACCTCCAGCCTCATGTGATTAGCATTCATCTTAAACTCAATAGTCCTCGGCGTAATAGTTTACCAAATTGCTGGCCCGATAGTGACATAAAGAAATCCAGATTCACAGGTCCACAACATATTCGTGGTAACCAAGAGAAGAGCTTGTCATGCTTCAATGACAGGACATTGAATCCCAGTGTTTCTGAAACAGATCATGACATTACCTTTTCTGCTCAAGAGTACTGCAACACACCTAGTAAAATCACTGCATTGTCTACAGGAAGCACTGAAAGAGGAACCATCACGAAAAAAATTACTTCAAATGTTGCAAATGCTACCAAGAACTCGAAAGGAACTTTGGCAAAAAATTCTTCCTCTGCAAAGAGACAAGCATCAGCACTGAAGCACAGCGAGATGGTATGGTTTTGAAAACTCCTTGATTTCCCTTGTTCCATATCTGAAAATGCTATTACTAATTTACTACATAGACTACTTACTGTGGCTGTGTTTACTTTCTAATTATTTCATTTCCAGTTTCAAGTTCAAAACCACTGATGTAAAATAGTAAAAATATAGAATAGGATTCCTCTCTTCCTCGGTGAGAATGCTTCTGCTACAAGCACATGAGAATAGAAATATAGAATAGGGTTTCCTGTCCTCCAGAGTGAGGCTTCTACATGCCTACATATTTCGAGAGAAATTCACAAAATAATTATTAGAACAAAGAAATTGATTCTTATTAGCCTCCCCCGCCAAATAGATAGGAAAAAGACAACAAAGCATGTTTGACACGAATTTTCTGTAATTTATGAATCTTACCCACCCTTTTGAATCTAACATAGTATAAGTGTACAACTTCATAAGCACATAGCTTCAATCTGATTTAGAATTGTAACCTTTTGATGAGTGTGTGAAGTATGCATGTACATATTGTGTGCGATGTACTCCCTATGCCCCACAATGTTTTGTTCCTTTTTACCCTTTTGTTTGTCTCACGATTTTTGTCTCATAAGTCATACCATATTTCGTCATATTTGTGTGGCTCACATTCATTCCTACTTTATCTTGCTTTTTAATATCAACTTCAACCACACAATCTTAATTTTCTTAATTTCCATGCCACTCCCCCATGTTCCAAGAATAATGAACGGAGAGAGTATCATATTAGAATTAATGCTTATGTTAGAATTAAAAATTAGATTGATCGAAATAATATATGGTCGTTTAGGGATGTGGGATTGCCTTTCTTACCATTTGCTTCATTTATTAAGTGAGGATTGTGGCATTATTTTTCAGGATATATTCAGTGTTGAAGGTTGTGGCATTATACTTGGCCTATTTGCTTCATTTAATTTCTTTAGTATCTGCAATGCAGGTTCCTACTTCAAGAACTTTGGTGAAGAGGTTTATTCCCGCAACTCGTAAAGAATCTTCGCCCTTAAGCACCACTAAAGCTGCTGTTCAAGAGGTGCCTCGCAGGCCCAGCATTGGCATCCTTGATTGCTACAAATCTCAAGATGTTTCTGTGTATGCCCCCCGAATAGATAAGATGCTCGAGTTCCCTTTAGCCTCATATGAAGAACCTTCCCATCCTGTCTGCAAAACATCATCAGTTTCTGCGCAAGACTCTTGTGGGTCCCCCGAAGGGGTCTGTTCAATCAGGAAAGATAAATGCACAATCCTCCAGATCCCCCCTGACAACAAATCTGATAAACTGAGCTGTACCGGTGGTTGGCAAGGATTCACAAGCCCCCTCATGCTGGGAATGGATAGGGAGGAGGAGAGAAGCAATTGTTCTGATCAAAATGCAACGGCTGGTGCATCGAGTCAAACCTCATCAGACCAAAGGCGCCACCGTTTTGACATGTCGTCTTACAAACACAGAGCCGAAGCATTAGAAGGGCTGCTTGAGTTTAGCGCAAGGCTGATGCAAGAGGAACGGCTTGATGAGCTCGGCGTTTTGTTAAAGCCATTTGGGCCAGGGAAGGTGTCTCCTCGGGAAACTGCCATATGGCTGTCCAAGAGCTTTAAACAAAATGCTACATGCAAGCCTGAAGAAGACGAAGAAGAAGAATAATCCCTATTGAGTACCCAAGGTGTGTAAAGTAGCTTTTTTTTAACACTTCAGATATTCAGACATTTGTATTTTGTATGCAGAATCTGATCTTGTAGGGTATGTAGTAGTTTAGAACCCATTTAACTTCATTGTTGTGCAAAATGGTGTTGGCATCATTAGTAGGAATCTTTAAAGAACATGTGAGAGTTGTTGATGGTAGATTTACTTTTCCTGTCTTTCCTTCAATGGTGTAGTTGTGGTACAATCAATCATTTTAAATGATCAAGCAAATGAAGCATACACCATAGTTTCTTGTATCTATATTTATTTGCATATACTCATTTCCATTTCTGTGTTTTTGTTCAATTTTAATTTTTTTACGGTCAATGAGGATCAAGTTGTGCCTAATACATGATCCCTACCAATAGCGAGCATATTTTATATTTAATCGTATTATAGAGTATTAGCTTCCTTGTATATCTTCATAGAAGAGAAATTTGTATCTATTGTGCCCTAAAGCTTTCTACAAGTACAAAAGGTAAGTGTAACACTAGCATCATGTTAGTGTTGCACTTAGAGCATCTCCAAAGTATAGTGTAAAAATTGGTAGTGTAAACTTCATTTTACACTATCAATAGTGTTTTACATTTCTATTTTTTTTATACTTACTCCAATCATATCTTCTATATAATACACTTTTATAATATTCTTTTGTTTTAAGTTACTTATTTTTAATGATTTTTTGAAAAAGACATAATAAATACCTTGTACATATAAAAATGGAGAAGAGGGAAGGAAAAAAATGAAGAAAATTAATTTTTTATTCTTTCCACTATCTACAGTGAACTTGTAAAAATACACTTTGGAGATTGCTTTTTACACTACATTACATTTTACCACTATCTACAGTGAACTTGTAATAGTACATTGCATTTTATTCTTTCCACTATCTACAGTGAATTTGTAAAAAATACACTTTAAGCTTGATAGAAATTATTTTTTATTCAAATTGTGGAGTATAATCTAAAAATGAAATGTACTCTGTATATAATAATGATCATTTTCTTTACAAGTAATCTTATGTTAATCTACATCATATATCAGAATGATGACAATTTTTGGTATTTCCACAGATCTGCTTCATATTATACAAAATACACATGCAAATCTTTATATATTCGTTAAAAAAAGTATGAAAAACAAGCTAAAAATCAAGAATAATTAATTAATTAATTGGATTGGGATCTGCGAAGGAATTAATCCAGGCATGGCGATCCCAATCAAGATGAACTCTGATTTTGTGTCTGGGGTAAAGGATCTCATCGGCGGATGAATCGAAGTAAACGTAGTAACGGTTCCCGATCTTCCCGGAGATCCGGCCGAGCCACCACCCGTCGTTGTCGAACGCGTCCACCGCCTCCTCCATGTCGAACTCCGCCGCCTTGATCTCCGGCGGATGCGGCCGGATTTCCGCGGCGGAGACCGCCTCCGTCAGCGGCCCGGAGTGGTCGTCGTTTACCAGGGTCTTGTACTGGACGACGTACCCCTTGCCGCCCGGGAGCTCCGCCACCACCGTCGCCTCGTAGTACGAGCCCACGAAGCCTTCGGCGTTGCTCGCCACCTCCACGGCGTCGCCTTTCCGGTAGCCCACCGTCTGCAAGGTCCTCATGATTCTTTGATTTGCCGATGGAGAGAAAGAGACAATGTTTTTGGAGAGATGTGTAAGAATATGACCGGTAATTACCGTGTGCAAGAAATAAATAACCGAGAACTCAAAGAAAAGTTCAATTTCTTGTCTCAATCTAAGACCTCTTTGGGAATAGCGTTAGAGATTAGCGTCTGCCTTTTGAAAAGGCTATCTACGGCCAGCGTTTAGCGTTAGCATTTTCAAAGTAATCTGCACCATTAAAATTTTATCCAAAACGCTAACGCTAATCTCTAATGCTATTCCCAAACAGGTTCTAAATTACGGAGTATTTCTTTATTATTCATAGAGTCAAATATTATTTACTCGGTATTTTTTTCCCTGTTTTCGTTAATCATTTGATAAAATAATATAATTATATCATCACTTATTTTGTAGATATTTTGATGTAGTTTTTAAATACGGAGTATGTAATATTTATTCTTAAATTTACAGCGTATTTTTTATATAAAATGATTTGGAAATAACACATGTCAATCATCGTAAACTGAAACAAACGATTGAAATTGAGATAAAGAGAGTAATACTTGAAATTTATCAAAACCACTATTCCAAATTAAAAATACTATTTTCTAAAAAGTCTTAATATAAATATAAATTTCAAATTTAGTTGGGACAAAGTAAAAAAGAAAGTCTAACGACTGTTTGGTGAAATTTAAAAGTATGAGACAATGAGTTTTGAAATATGACACAAATGATTTATATTAAAATATGGAATGAAGTTGTTTGGATAAATTTAAGATTATTATTTAACTATATGTCTGGGTGATCGACGACGAATGTAGTTGGCTATGACGCCGGTAGCCAGTGTTGGGGAATAATAAACGATTAAGAAAGATATCAGAATTCTTTCTCACAACGTATACGGAGCATGTTATAGATATTGCGGAGTACTTTCTATTTTCCTCCCACAAAAACATTCATGATGCATATTATTATTGTTATAAAAAAGTAAAACATAAAAGTTCAATTTGGATCACTTGGAGCATCTTAAAGTCATTTGCTTGTATTCGAGTGTCAAAACATTTATTTACCCAAAATGAGAACGACACTTTTATTATTTTTTTAGACAGAGAGAGTACAAAATAAATTAGAGTTTAAAACAACAAAGCTTTTAAAAATACTCCGGTAATGTGTTTCATACTATCCTACTCCCTTTGGAATAAACTTTATTTAATCACACAATTCTTCAGATTTGCCAAGTCTTTCTCTTTCGTTCAGAAATGATACAAATAAAATCGTCAAAATCAAACACACCATGTTTTCAAATGACTCAGATTTGCATTAGGACTAATTTTCCCAGCCGTATTCGTTTAGATTCGAAGAACACAAGTATTGAGGTATATGTAAGATAAACAGAAAAGATGAAAGACAGCTCTCGTAGCTCAACGAGAGCATTTCTTTTTGTTTCTCCTCCCTTTTTCCTTCTCGTCAGAGTTTTGGAGTAGCCAAACAATTCTAAGCACCAGGTCATTAATTCATGATTAAGGACTGATTAAGAGATTCTAAACGTTTTCCGGCTTTTTAAAAACCCCATGATTAAGACCACATTTACAGTGAGTAACTTTTAAAACAAATAAAATCTGCAGTAAATTTAACTAAAAGATATCCTTAATAACAAAGAACAAATAAAACACAGATCAGAGTATATTCAAATTTCTTACATGCTTTTATAAAAAAAAAATTTACATGTGAGAGGACGCGTTAAAATAAAAGAATACTATGATTGATTTAATTAGAAGGCTAGAAGGTGCATGGGAAGATGTCCAAATGGGGAGAATGCTTGGTACATATGGCCATACCGGTGTACAATCACCAAATTAAGGGGATGTATTTTTCCTACTTAGAGTAAAATAAATTGTCAGATTTTACAAATAAAAAGTTTTTAAATTAAAATATACTCAATATATTTTTGAAAATGTTGTAAATTATATCATAGGGTAGATTTTATTTCAAAATTATAGAATTCTGAAATTTTCTAAAAAGATAATTTTCTGAGCTTGTTCATTAGTTTTATCAAATTTAACACATTCAATTTGCAGGGTCGACCGTGACGGTGTGCCACAAGGTCCTCTATTTCGCAGGGACTGTTATTTTACAAGTTATATAGCTTTGATGATTTGAAGTGAGAAGAATAATTTTTTATATTACTGGTTTCATGTTATGACATTGGTCCTTACTTTCAAAATTAAAATCGATTTTTTTTTGTAATTTACATTAACTTTAAACAATAACAAGCATTATATTGTATGAACTATTCTTATGCATTCACTAACTAGTTGTGCACTTGTAAGATACATAAGTTCAGTTTTATTATTAAAGAATTTGGAGAGTTTGGACGACTTCATTTTTGGCATATTATATTCTATACAAGAAACCCTAGCTTATTTTATTTATTACGTTGGCTGAATCAACTTAATGTGAGAAAAGAACTGTTAAGATACCAAGTCAACCACAAGCTCAAACTTTTTATGATTGAAAGTCCGTAAAATGTTTTACACTCTAACATACCTACACTCTAACATACCTCCCCACGTGCAAGCAGATATGTCTTTTTACTCGAACCTTGCTCGGGAACGTTTATTTTTTAAATCTAAGTGACGATAAGACTCGAACTCGTGACCTCTCTAGATTAACAAGGCTATGGTACTATGTTAAGGAACTAGCTTAACTAAAAACTTTCCACAAGCTTGAGCTTGTGGATGAATGCTGATTAAATGTTTCATACTTGAACAAAAGTAATGCAAATGTTACCTTTTCAGCCACAATATCATTCATTATGCAACTTTGGTTGATTGAGTCATTTCAGTCATTTTAAGCCTTACCAAATCGGCTTGTAAGGTCAGAATAGAGTAAAAAAGAGTCACACAGTTTTCAATTCCTAGAAGATCCTGTCTTGGAGACTTTCGGAAGTAAGTGCAATGACGACCATCCTCAGAAGCGTATGTGGGAAAGAGAATGTCCAAGAAAGCGCAATGAGTGATGGCTTTAAGACAATGAATATTCCCGCCATTAGTTGGGTAGAGAGTTGTTGTACCACATAGAGCAATCATCTCACAATCTCTAACAAGCTTTGCCGGTCTTGCCCTTGAAACCCATTATGATGAACTTGCCACAAACCAATGGTCACAAACTTACAAGTCATTCCTCCACTTGGGTGGAAAATGTAATTTGATATACTCTATCCGTCTTAGAATATAATTTAATAACTACTTTTTTAATCCATCACTAAATAAATTATCCACTTTTTCTATTTCCTTCCTTGGAAAAGAATGTGGTCCAGAACACTTCTCTTTGTTCAAAAAAATTTCTAATCACCCATTTTTCTCTAGTGCATATCTTTTCAACATCTTACAATACTTTTTTTAATCTTCGTGAAACCAAAATGTATAAGTTATTCTCAGAAGGAGGGAGCCATCCACTCTTTAGACTTGATAATTCAATTACTCCTTCCATCTAAAAATTATTTTCTCATTCACTATTTACATAGTCAAATTGTATTCACTTTGGCAAACTATTTTCATTAAATACTTGAAAAATAATATAATTATATCACCTTGAATTTTATAGATTTTTAATGTAATTTTTTAATATGTAGTTTTTATTTTTTAATTTCACACCATTTTTAAAATAGAATAATTTAAAATAACTTCAGTAGTCAAATATTTTAATGCGCAATGAGAAGATAATTTTTGAACGGAGAAAGTATAGTTTACAGCACTCCAAATTTTACTCCCTTTGTCCCTATTCCCTAATGGTTTGCCACACTTCAAAAAACGTGTAAAATATTACTATTTTAAAATTATTTTATTTATAAATTGATAGAGAAATAAAAAAATTAAAATTACAATATTCAAAAGTACATCAAAAGTTTTACAAAACTAGATGTGAAAAGAATATTTTATGCTATCAAATAGTCAATTAAAACGAGTAAACACAGAAAACTTATCGAGAAGCCAAAATGGTAATCGTGATACTTCCTCCGTCCCTAATTTGATTACAATTTTTTTCTCTCCTCTCGGTAACTTTTGCTTGTTTATACGATTTCATTAAGTATTTGATCAAATAAAATATTTTTTTCACCGCTTGTTTTGTAGAATTTTTGACATAGTTTTTTAATATGTAATTTTTATTTTTATAAATATACTGATTTGTAAATAAAATGACTTCAAAAAATGACATATTTCTCCTCGTAAACAAAGGGAGTATTATTTTAAGAAAGGAGGAAGTAAATTTCAAGACTCCACTTGCCATATTATGCCTGAAAAGAAAAGCAAAAAGAAGAGCAGGTTCTAGTGTTCTACTCCCTTCGTCCCATAAAGATGAGTACGTTTTGACTAAAGTAAAAATTAAGGGAGGAATAATTTTGTGTTGACTTTCCAAAAATACCCTTGATGTGATGGGTAAAAGTATGATGTGATGCATAGATTATTAGGAAAAATGTATGATGCGATAGGTAGGGTTTGAAAAAGTAAGGAGTAAAAGTGGTTTTTTAATAGAAATGAGTAAGAGATTGTGAGACGCAATTTTTTTGAAACGTGTAAATCTTTTTGGGACGGAGGGAATACATGATAGGTACAAAAAGAGTAAAATTGTACTTTCTCTACTCTTATTTAACTGTGGGTGGAGGAGTTAGGTGAGGAGGAGCATGGCGGGGTCGGTCAACTTGTTTGCTTGCCTGACAGCCTTTTGAGCTACTACATCGATAACATCCCCTGTAATCCTGCATGCAAGAAATGCATTCATTGATTTTTTTTACTTTAAAAAATACGGAGTATTACTTGTAATTGTTTTTGTTAATGATTTTTTTTAAATGCGGAGTTTCCTATGAATTCTTTAATATACTCAGTACATTGGTTTTAAAATTAATACTTCATCCGTTCCTAAAAGATTTTATCCTTTAAGAGCATCCACAATGGTAGCATCCCTCATTAGATGTTGAAGTGTGGAGTCTACTTTTAAAATGCCAATTGAGCACCTCTCTCAACATCTAAACCTTTCAATAGTGGCATCTCATATGGATGCCTCATTTTATTCAATGAATGCAGTGGGTCTATATAAATATAATTATATTTTATTTTCTTAATTATAAGTATTTATTACTCCCTCCGTCCGGGAATAAACTTCCCGGTTTGACTTTTCCTTCTTTTTAGTGTGTGCCTTATTTACATGTGAAATGCCAAAACTGCCCTTAATGAAAGAAAACTTTAAAAAACTGAGATTTGGTTACTTCATGGCCGAACAAGGCCTAAATAATTCAACTACTGCCACTGTTTGAAATGATTACAAAATTGGCATGGATTGTTACATCAAATCAAGGATTACATTACACAAATTGGCAATTCCCTCCATTTTTTTGGAGGCCCGCCCAAAATGGTTAAATTCCTGCTTTTTAAAGCATTACTGACTACATAAACCCCCCCACTCATTTCCATTTTTGGCCTGCACTCCCATGTCTTCTTCTTCTTTTTCTTCTGCAACCTTTTCTGGAGTATGCTTTCACAATGAGCCTTATTCCTTTTTCTTTTTTCATCCCTAATTCCTGGAGGCCTGCACACATATAGACTGATGAATACCACTCACATAAACACCAAAANAAAGAAAAATGCAGACGGTTCATACTCAGCTCAGTACGGGCAGATCAACACGCTTGCTGCAGAATATAATGTGTCCAGAAAAACAGTGAGCAACATATGGGCCATTGCAAAGAAACAAATAGAGCAGGGCATTGCCATTGATGTGAGAAGCAAACTGGCAGGAAACAGTGGCAGAAAAAGGGCAGTGATGGATATAAAGGCTATAGCAGACACTCCCCTCCGGAAGAGGACTAATGTAAGATCATTAGCAGCTGCCATTGGTAAGTCTAAATCAACTGTTCATGAGTGGATTAAAAGAGGTCTGCTTAGGAGCCATTCTAATGCTATAAAACCATACCTCACAGATGCCAATAAAATTTCAAGGCTCAGGTTCTGTTTAGATCAGGTAGAACCCTACAGCATGCCAATCCACCCTAGGTTTAAGAGTTTTCACAATGTTTTGCACATTGATGAAAAGTGGTTCTTTATGTCTAAAACATCTCAGAAATTTTATCTCCTTTCTGATGAAGCAGACCCATACAGGGCATGTAAATCAAAAAGGTTCATAGCTAAAGTGATGTTTCTGTGTGTGGTTGGGAGACCACTATTTGGGGATAATGGAGAAGTGTTATGGGATGGCAAAGTTGGCATATTTCATTTCACAGAAAAATGCAAAGCCAAAAGGAAGAGCAAGAACAGACCCAAAGGGGTGTTAGAGGTGAAACCAATAACTAGTGTTACCAAAAAGGTCACAAAAGATATGCTCATCAATAAAGTGATACCAGCAATCCAAGAAAAATGGCCCTCACATTTATCTAAAGACATACACATTCAGCAAGATAATGCAAGGCCACACATTTATCAATAAACTTCCCACTCTACGTTTTTTTCCGTCCGAAAATAATCTTCCCACTCTACGTTTTTATCAATACTCTTCCAAAAATACCCCTCATTTACTATCTCTCGCCAACCTCTCATTTACGGACTCTCTCTCTTTCGCCAAAGTCAAAATTAGAGTATTGATAAAAACGTAGAGTGGGAGTATTTACTTGTTATTATTAATATTACCTTCTTCCTAGAATATATATCTAATTTTGACTTTTTACATTTAAATTAATAAAATTTGGTCTTCAATTAAATAAAACTTATATTAGATATTGATATAAAATTAAATTTCTTATATTTATGTTGTAAAATATTTTAAAATGTTTTTTATGTAATTAATATATGATGTACTCCGGAGTAGTTAATATTGTTTCAAAACAAACAGAAAAACAAATACCTAAGAAAATTTTCGAAATAAATAAAAATAGTCATTCCATTAAAAAAGAGTTTGAATTCTAGAACATTGTAATATCTAATTTTTTGAAGTTGCCAAATCTAATTTAATAAAAAAAAAACTTTTGAGCCTTCATAAAAACTACAAATGCAAACTTTTAAATTGAAAAAATAATAAATTGACACATGGCACATATATATTGGACCACAATACTTAAAAAACAAATGCCTCAATTCTTCCATCCTCAAGCATCGGGTGCTAAGCCAAGCATCTTCCTTACATTTTTCTTTTTGAGCATCTTTATTGGGCATCTATCTACAATAATAGCATCCATCAACATCTCACTCACTCTCCTCCTAGCATCTCTTTTGGGCATCCCATTGGAGATGACCTAACATCTACATCATCCGTCTCAAAATATTTACAACATTTGTTTTTCAGCAGTCGCGAGAACTTTTTTTATTTCTACGTTTTCATTAGTTATTTGATAAAATAAATATTCTTGATACTTCTTATTTCGAAAAACTTTTTATTTAATTTTTCTATATGTAAATTTTATTATTTATTTCTATACCAATATATAATAAAATAAATTGAAAAAATTTGATATTTTATTTCGGGAAGACAAGTGTGACAAATATTTATGGACAGAGGGAGTATTATTTTGAAAAATTTTCATGTAATTTTTAAATATGTAAATATTATTTTTTATTTTTATACCAATATTTAGATAAAATAAATTAAAAACATGATATTCTATCTCGGTTTTAAAAATATGACAAACAAATAGGGACAGAAGGAGCAAGAAAAAATCAAAATTTAAAAATCATCATCCGCAAAGAAAATAGGATCATGCTACACTTACATCAAGAAACGTACCCCATTTGTACACCGTAGTTATACACAAACATTTTGATGATTTAAACTGACACAAGTGTTAGTGCGTTAACAAAAATTTACACGGACACAAAGTGTTGGTGCATTAACAAAAATTAGTTTTACATCAACACAAAATGTTGGTGCAAACCTGCGGTGTATAAATGGGGTACAAAAGTGTAGGGTACAAATAGCTTTATCCAAGAAAATACTACTCCTTCTGTCCACCATAAATCTTTACAGACACTATTCACATGGTCAAACTTAATTTGCTTCGTTTCATAAAATAATATAGTGTTGTCACCTCTAGTTTTGTAAAACTTTTCATGTAGTTTATTACTACATAGATTTTATATTAAAATTTTATCTTTATATTTAAGTAAATTAAATTAAAAATAAAGTCGGTCAAGCTTCGTAATACGCAATGGAAAGATCTAGACGGAGGCAATATATGTACACTAGTTTTGTACACCTATTATACACCACATATAACCCCCCTCCCTCCCCACCACATTTTGCAGATCTCTTCTTCACGCCCATTCCCTCTCCCTCAGATCTCCCTTCTCTCCATATCTCCGGCGGTCCTCATCAGCGCGCCGTGTCCTTCGCCGTTACAACTGACCCACGGTTGCCGCCACCTCCGTCCTGTCAATCTCCCCCATCACTCCGAGTCATGCCGTCGATAAAGTCCCCGTCTCCAAATCCCGCTGCTCCCTTCAGTCCCGGTCACTCCGCCATCTCAGCCAAAATCTCCCGTTCTGGCGATGCCGTAAAAGAAGAAGGAAGATGGGGTGGCGATCTGGGAGGATCGGGCGATGAGCGGGAAGCAGGGGCAGTGTAGGAGTTGAAGGTGTGCACCAATCAGGATCTCGACGACAACGACGATGATGCGGCGGAGAGGATGGGAAAGGCGGCTATGAACTGTCGAGGAGAAGAGAGAAGGAAGAGAGGTAATAGATCTGTAAATTTAGCAAAGTCCATTACAATTAATCATAGTTGTAGGCATTTGAAGTTAATTCATAAAGTTCATAACAATAATTCTTATTTCCAACCTCCATGCCCATCTTTCCTATTCTTCTGGTGCTCCAAGCTCTTCATCTATATTTCTTTTTATAGTTCCAAAGGGGCCCACTTGTTGAATTTATTTGATGTGATTGGACTTTGCTAAATTTATACCTCTACATTTGTTATGTGTAAAGCAAAATGAAAGTGGAACATATTTAGTTACAAAGAGTTCTCAAGACTCATAGTTTCCCCTGTTGAATATGCCTATTTGCAGCATTTGCTACCTCAATGATAACTGGGATTTAATGTGTAAGTATGGAAAAGTGTTTGCCAAGGGAGGTGCTTGGTTTCGTCAGGGTTCCTTTGACTTGTGGATGGAATTTGCTGCTAAAATGGGTACTTGCAACCTCAATGCGTATAATTTGCCAGTCTAATGCTTAAAGAATGTAGTAAAAATGTCTACATTCTTGTGCATCTTTCATTGATATATTGAATATCTTTATTGTCCTCTGTAGGAGACGTCGATTCACTTTGGAAAGTTGATAAAATAAGATCAGAATCCATGAATCATCACACTATTTCGAGTGCCTTTTCATGTGCTAAGGTAGTTGCTTATCCACCATCATCCCTAATCCAACTTGTATCATATGTCCTCTCTACATGCTTCCTCTCTTTTTTTCCCATTTTCATGTGCTAAGGTAGTTGCTTATCCACCATCATCCCTAATGATTTGAAGAATTTTTCATATAGTTTTTAAATATGTAAATATTATATTTTTTTATACCAATATTTAAATAAAATAAATTTAAAAACATGATATTCTATCTCTGTTTTAGAAATATGACAAACAAATAGGGACTCAAGGAGTACGAAAAAATCAAAATTTACAAATACATATATCATCGGCAAACTTTCGTCAGACCCATTATTGGGAGTTGTTTTTTACACAGTGACGGCATGGAAAGTCTCTTTCAAGGTCATTCAGAGATGTTTGGGAAGAACAATAATGGGCTTCATAAGGGAAGAGTCATCATTACCAAAGATAAAAAGGAAGACCCGACGGGTTTTCTTCTATTAGCTTTTCAAGAAGACAGCCGCAGAAATCTAAATTTGAAGGCTACCATGGTGAGAGAGAAGAAATCCAAAGACCCCCAAGGGGAAACACCGCCTTCATCGTGTTTATCTACATTCCCGCCGCTGAAGGCCGTTGGCGGTGGCGGTGCCCCCTGCTTCGATCCCAAGGCAGCAGCCGCCTCCTCACACTCCATCTCCTCCCATCTCTTCATCCCATCCACACCCTACATGTCTTTCTACCTTCCCACCATTGATGGCCGGCGGTGGCGGCGCCTCCCCGCGAAGCCATCGTCTGTTTCGATTCCATCAGCTCATATCCCTGTTTCAGATCCTTCTACACGTTTGACCAGCGGCCAATGCCCTGCAACGCGCCATTGTAATCGTATGTCAACGTTCCTCCAAGTCCAAGGCAACAGCAGCCGCCGCCGCCTCCCGCGCTAGCTGTGGAGGCTCGGACCCTCTTACTTCCGCCGCTAGAAGCAAAGGGAAAGAAAAAGAGGTGAAGGAAGTTATAACTCTCGAACATCATTCCAGTATGTATATTTTGTTTTCATTTTCTTAACCCTTTTTTCTAGCCTATGTTTGGTAAATCTATATTTAGTCTATAATTATCAACAAACTTTAGAGAAAGAAATGGTAATAGATTCAAAAAACGGTGTTGGGATTATCCATGAACGGATAAAGCTCTGAAACCTCGTTTAGGAGAGCACTCTGGTACACCTTTGTTCCTCCAAGCTTTTTCAAATGAATCCTATAAGGTGCTTCCCCCGCCTTCCAAAATCCTTTCGTCATTGCACCGAAGATTGTTGGGACAATGCTTGGAAACTTCTTCATCGACTCACATACGAGGTCTCCCATGGGAGTCTCGTGTGGATAGTATTGAACATTTCTAATTAGTTACAGCTTTTGTCCCTGCCAATGTCTTTTAACATTTTCCCAAAACAACAAGTATTCCGTACCGTTAACAAATGGAGAACTATTGTTGTCATTACTAGCCTCATACCAAAACACCTTTGACAAAATACCCTTTTCATTCTCTTTTGAATTTGTCAAGTTTGATGACCATCCCACGGTACCTCCTAAAAACGACTCTAAATGTCGATCAAAGATAAATAGATAAACGTCGTCACAAAATATCTCAAACTCCATGCGGTTAGAATGAAGTTCATAGCTTCTATCGGGGTGAATATGAGAGGATTCTTGGTGATGAAATAGAGGAAGTATGTGACTTGGTTAAAATTTCTAGACTCGATGGTGTACAACACCAAGTCAACGAACTCCGAGATGATTGGAGGTATCATCTCGGTAGGAGGAGGGTCGTGGTTTATCAAAAAATTTACGTAATCAATCAAACAGACAATCTCAAAGAAGATATGACCTAGGGTTACGCTCTTTGGAGTGAAATTTGTCTAGAGATGAAGGAAAGTATAAAATATAGATTAGTCGCCCTTGCTTGAATAGTTCACAAATACTATGTCGCTTTCTAAAAGATCTCATTACAATTCTTTTAAATTTTATTTTTTAAAAGTAAACACAAAATGTCAAGGACATGTGTTGAAAATGTTGGATGGTCATTGTTGGTTGTGCTTTTCTAAAATTGTTGGCCATCTAGTTTGTAAACAGTCATATACTATATTATATTTTTCCGCAAAATGCCAAGCATCTTTATGGACTCCAAGATATCGAGATTCAAAGACATCATAATTTTCTCATTGTTTTTTGTAAGAATGAGGGGGTTTTTGTTCATTATTGTATGATTAGACTTCACTCCCTTTTTACAACTCTAGCATTTTTACAGTATACAAGGGAATTGTATTCCAAAAAGAGAATTTTTGGAGGTGTCTTTGGTAAAGGTATAGTTGTCTCTTCCAATCCAAATACCTTTGCCATCTTGGATGAGACTATTATACACGATAGACCAAAGAGTGTAACCCTAGGTCATATTTTGTTCGAGATTGTCTGTTTGGTTGATTACGTAAGTTTTTTTGATAAACCACGACCCCCCTCCTATCAAGATGATACCTCCAATCATCTCGGAGTTTGTTGACTTGGTGTTGTACACCATCGAGTCTAGAAGCTATGAACTTTATTCTAACCGCATGGAATTTGAGATATTTTGTGACGGCATTTATCTTTGATTGACGTTTAGAGTCGTTTTTTGGAGGTACTGTCGGATGTTCATCAAACTTGACCAATTCAAAAGAGAATGAAAAGGGTATTTTGTCAAAGGTGTTTTGGTATGAGGCTAGTAATGACAACAATAGTTCTCCCTTTGCTAACGGTACGGAATACTTATTGTTTTGGGAAAATGTTAAAAAGACATTGGCAGGGACAAAAGCTGTAACTAATTAGAAATGTTCAATACTATCCACACGAGACTCCCATGGGAGACCTCGTATGTGAGTTGATGAAGAAGTTTCCAAGCATTGTCCCAACAATCTTCGGTGCAATGGCGAAAGGATTTCGGAAGGCGGGGGAAGCACCGTATAGGATTCATTTGAAAAAGCTTGGAGGAACAAAGGTGTACAAGAGTGCTCTCCTAAACAAGGTTTCAGAGCTTTATCCATTCATGGATAATCCCAACACTGTTTCTTGAATCTATTACCATTTCTTTCTCTATCAAGTTCGTAGAAGACTTGTACAAATTATTTGATCAAACTTGATGTAAAACACTTATCTATTTGCTTAACTTGTTTGTATTAGGGCACTTCTTTGGCGTGTATGAACAAATTAATAAGTAGATTAGTTTTTAATCTTTTTATTGCTGAATTTGGTTTACCAGCGAAAGGGTGATCCAAAATTGAATCTATGATGAAATGATTTCTGGACTAACAAGAACTCATTATCCCATCTCTTTTACATTAAATACATCCAAAGTTTAACTGAATCTAGGATGAACCAAATGCGATTTTTTTTAAATTATTATGAACAATTCTATTGATAGGGAAGGTTATTTTGCGTGGATTTTTGACATGAAATATGTCATCATAGTACAAGGGCCTTGTTTGGATATTTGGCCGTCATTTGTTTTAAATAGCTCTTTAGTTTAGCTGGTTTGATGATATATTATGCATGATTTTTTCGTATTCTACAAGTCTATGTATATTCAATTTGGATTTTATAAAGTCTGTTAAAATGTTGGTGTATTGAATGTAGATTTTAAAATTTCCGACTAAATCTTGTGGTATTGAAAATTTTATAGATTGTTATAGGATTTCATTAATGATGGATTTTAGTGGAAGTATAAATACAAATCTTCTCACAAATCAATAGATTTTGAGTATGAAAGACCAGATCTCGAACAGAGAAGATGACCATGAACAATAGAAATTGCTTATGCACAAGACTAGAAGGAAATGGATGCTCGTTTATTGCCTACTGAGGGGAGTCTCGTTTGCTTTTAAAGGGTAACAGTTGCATGAAGATAAAAAAAATCTCTTGTAATTAGGATTTTTGGTTTGTCAAGAAGATGACGGATCAAGCGATAAAAAAGTTGGGTTTGTTCTTCAATAGTTTTTTTTACAGGTAATTTCGTTTTCTTTAATTAGGTTTTTATTCTTTTTTACTTCGTAATTATTGTAGTCCATTTTATAATTAGTTATTGATATTAGAACAATCCATGACTTTTTAAAATCTAAACTAATCCTAATAATACAATACATTAAAATCTACCAAAGTTTATATAGAATTAAAACAATCCATGAATTCCACATAATCAATGAAATAACCGTTAATAAACATTCGGTTGATAAATTTCCTCTATATAACACATTCTCCGTGCATTAATTGTGCGTTTTATGTTTTAGTTCCTTACTTCTATGGAGATGTAGCGTCTGTTTGGAAATAGCGTTAGAGATTAGCGTCAGCGTTTTGGAAAGACTATTTACGGGTAGCGTTTAGCTTTAGCGTTTTCAAAGTAATCTGTGCCGTTAAATTTTTATCCAAAACGCTAACGAAAATGTCTAACACTATTCCTAAATCGGCCCGTATTCTAACAAAGTAACTTAACATCACACATACATACACATACATGTCCATGTGCAAGAGATACATTCATATTCATATAAAACACACATACATCCACCTTTTAAAAAAATAAAAAATGCTTATAAATAAGAAAAGATTGGGAGAGGGATTCTCGGACAAGAAGAATAAAAAAGAAGAAATGAGTATTTCAAGGGCATATCTATTTTTATGGTTGCTCATTGCATGTAGCAGCACAACAAAATTTGTGAAGGGTAAAGCGGACACATCCTCAAAGCCTAATGTTCTATCTGATGAGTGCAAGAAAATAAAATTATCAAACGTGTTGCTCTTCGATGTTGATTATAATCCGAAAAAAGCCGAACCCCTCACGTCTTAGTGTTGCTCCCAATTGAGGGCATTTGGACAAATTGCTTATTATTATGATTGGGTATATAATACGGTCTGGAATTATAATTGGAATCTCACTATTAGAGATTGGTTTTATTCGAGTGAGGATGACGTGTGGAATAAATGTCAATCCATATAAATTCATGTATTACCTCGAAATATGAATATTATATGAACTATGGTTTGATGGTATGTTCCAAATTATGATTTTGTGATGAAATCTATAATTATATAATTTATACTCTCTATATCTCAATTTAAATTGTCTATTTACTATTGATATGATCAAATTTTAAATACGTTTTAAAACCATTTTTACTATCCATTTGAGAAAGTAATATAGTCTTGACTCTTGTCCCCTCTTCTTTTTTAGATTTTTAGATGTAGTGTATAAATATATAAATTTTATTGTCTAACTGCTTACCAAACTTTAAATTAATTTAATTAAAAATAATTTCAATCAAACCTTGTAAAAAAGGCATTTTTTTGAACGGGGGGAGTATATAGGATTAGTACAATTGAGTTTGCTAGAAAAAGTTGAAATATGTGAACAAATAAAAGTAACATTTATAAATTATAGAGGGTGACCTGTGAAATAAATGTCCACCCATATATATAAATTCATGTATTACCCATAAAAATGAATATTATGTGAACTATGGTTTGATGGAATGTTTCAAATTATGATTTTGTAATGCAATCTATTATGGAGTATTATATAGGCCTTGTTTGGATGTTGGTTGTCAGCTGTTGGCTGTTGGCAGTTTGTGCCAGCTGTTGTGAATGGCTGTTTAGTTTAGCTGGTTTGACCGGCAGGATGTATTAGCTGATCGTTAAAAATGTTTGGTAAAATTAGCTGTTTGTAAATACTTTTTCATATATATATATATATATATATATATATATATATATATATATATATATATATATATATATATATATATATATACACATACACATACACAAACACACATGATATTTATTTTTCATTTTTTTACATGTAAAAATTAAATGTTTACTATATGAAGCATTAAAGTTTAATTTTATTTAATTCATAAGAAATTATTAATATAAAACTTTTTAATGATTTTTACTTTTTATTCTCTCATTTCATTTTTTGAAAATTTTAAATTTTAAATTTTAAATTTTATTTTTTTAGTATTTAATTTTTTTTAAGTTTTATTTTATTTTTTTACATATATTATAAAATATCTTTCAACAAAAATGATTTTAAAAAAATTCTAAACAGCCAAGTCCAAATGCTACTCCTCTTGGCATTTCAGATTTTAGCTTTTCAGATCGAAATGCCAAGTGGAAAAGCCATTAGCCAAATAATGGTTTTGGTTGTTCGCTTAGTCATAAAAGCCAAAGTCAGTCAACGATGTCAAAAGCTATCCGAAAAGCTGTTTTCCAAACACGGCCATAATTTATATTTTTATAAGTTGCATATTTATTGTTCACATGGTCAATATTTAACCATGTTCTTGGCCCATTTTCATTATCCATTTGTAAAAAATATTAGTCTTACCGCTTCTTGTTTTTTAGAACTTTAAATATAGTTTTTAAATACTCCCTCCGTCCTATATTTAATTTCCCACTTTGACCGGGAGTGATTTTTAAGGAAGTGTAAAAATTACATTGACTTTCCCAGAATACCCCTATATTCATCCGCACCCAAACCTTCACTCCCAATTCGAAATTCTCCAAATCAAACAAATCCCATTTGGAAATTCAATTGGTTCTTCAGTTCTCCATATCTACGTCCTCCTGAAATCAATTCTCCCAAATAAGACCACAAAGAATCGCATGTCTCGTCGAGCAAATAAAAAGAACAGAATTTTTGCAGATTGAATTTATCACTTAGATCTAAAAGGGAAAAGCCTCCTCAAAGATGGCGATGGAAGCTCGCTAATTTATAGAGACGGCGGCGACTGTTCAATAATCTACAGAGACGGCTGCGCATACTTGGTAAATTTTAGAGACGGCAAGTAGGGGAAGTTCGATAATACTTTCTTGGGCGGGGACTCTTGAGCAGACATGGGTGTGATGGTTCTTTTTTGTATGAATCAAGAAAATTAAGCAAAAAGAAAAGATAAGATAAGAAAGATTATCGGAGAAGAAAACATACTGTGGGGATATGGGGAAGATTGAACCAGTGAGGGAAATTGAGGGTGAAAAGGAAAGAATAAATAGATGGGGGCATTATTGTCATCTACCATAGTAAGCCTTGCCATTTTAAGTAATGGGAAGATAATTTTAGGACAACCAAAAAAGGAAAGTGAGAAGTTAATTTTAGGACGGAAGGAGTATATAAATTTTATTTTTTTAATTCTTTTCTAAAATTCAAATAAATTGTATTTAAAATAACTTCATTCAGACTTCATAAATTAAGATAATTCAATTTGGGACAGATGGATCATATAGGATTAGTACAAATTTATAAATTTCAACCACGTAATAGTTAATTTCAACAAGGTACATTTAAGAGAGTGGTGTTGAAATGGAACTCGAACTCTATTATATTGTTCATTTATCGCATGCATGTTTCAACTTTCAAGTACAACTACAAAGGATGGGGACAGCTTCGGATGAATTGCACAATTTTTCCATAAAAGTACCAGTCCACAAACTACTTTGTAATCGCCTATACATTTAAAAAATAAATAAATTTAGTTAATTAGTAAATGTTGTTTAGTTATAATTCAATGAATAAATACTCGTTTTAAACATTACAATTTCAATTTTATAAATTTATCAATGCATTCTATATTGTAATAAAATTGGTATGGTATATCAATCCCCCCCTCCCCCCCAAAATAAATAAATGAGTGAAAATATTAAAGGTACTATTATTCCTAGCTAGTTTCGGTTAAATACCCTCATCAAATATTAATTGTGCGTTTTAGCTCCTAATTACGATATAGATGTATTGTAAGTATGTAACTTAACATCACACACATGTTCATGTGCAAGAGATACATTCATAAATTAAATACATATAACGCCCACCTAAAATAATTATAAATAAGTTAACATTGAGAGAGGGATTATCGGACAAGAAAAGTAAAAGAGAAGAAATGAGTATTTCAAGGGCACATTTGTTTTTATTAGGGTTTTTTATTGCATGTGGAAGCACAACGATAACATTTACAATGGGTGAAGTAGACACAACCTCAAAGCCTAATGTTCTATCGAATGAGTGCAAGAATATAATACTAGCAAACATTTTGCGCAACAATGATGACAACAATTTTCCGAGAAATGTTGCACCCCTCACGTCTCAGTGTTGCTCCCAATTGAGGGCAATTGGACAAACAGCTTATTATGATTGGGTATATAGAGGGTGTTTGGCAGTGCGCTGCCATTAATAATTTAGCTTCTACTTTGAGTGGAAGTGATTTTACTCTGTTTGGCATGTCAGCTTCTGCTTTTCACCACCACTAATTTGTACATAGAACACCGTTTCGGAGAAGCAAGTATGAGGTGTTTTTGCTTTCAGCTTTCGTGGAAAACACTTTATCCACAAGTTAATCACTCCCAAACACTCTCATAATACGGTCTGGAATCATTATTGGAATCTTATTAATGAGGATTGGTTTTATTTGAGTGAGGATGACGTGTGGAATAAATGTCAATCCATATAAATTCATGTATTATCACCCAGAAAAAATGAAAATGATATAGACTATGGTTTGATGGTATGTTCCAAATTACTCCGGTATGATTTTGCAATGCAATTTTTTACGGATATTATATAATTTAATTATACCCTCAATCTCAATTTAGGTTGCCTATTTAATATAAATTATGATTAAAGTCTTGTCACCTCTTTTTTAGAACTTTAAATATAGTTTTTAAATATATAAATTTAATATTTTAAATCCTTTCTATACTTCAAATAAGTTAAATTGAACACAACTTCAATCAAACCTCATAAAGAACAGACAATTCTTTTTGGAACGAAGAAAATATATAGGATTCGTACAACTGAATCTGCTGGAAAAAGTTGAAATGTGTGAACAATAGAAAATAGAATTTATAAACTTCAACTTGGTACGTTTAAGAGAGTAATGTTGAAATGGAACTGCAACTCCATTGTTCATTTATCACGAACTCCATTGTTCATTTATCACGAACTCCATTGTTCATTTATGACATGCCAACTTTCAACTACAACCATAAGGATGTGGAGAGTCTGGGATGAATTGCACAAATTTTCCATGAAAGGACCAGTTCGCGAAATGCTTTGTAATCACCAATTTAAACTAATAAATTTAATTAATTAGTAAATGTTGTTTACTTATAATTTAATGAATAAATACTCATTTTTAAACATTACAATTGCAATTTTATAAATTTACCAATGCATTCTATATTGTAATACAAAGTGTTATTTACCTCTTATGCCAAGTCTGCTGCAATAGATGCGTGCGAGCCAGATTGGATAGAATCAGAAATCCTATTGTTGAAGTATTGCCCATAAAAATGAATATTATATGAACTATGGTTTGATGGTATGTTCCAAATTAGTCTCTCCGTCCGCCATAGATCTTTTTAGTTACTATTTATTTGGTCAAATTTAATTTACTGTGTTTGCTTATTTTTACGACTCCTTTCATAAAATAATATTGCCTTATCACTTCTAGTTTTGTAAAATTTTCATATGTACTTTATTACGATATAAATTTTATTTTTGAATTTTACCGTACAATCAAATAAATTAAATTAAAAATAAAGTCGCTCGTAACACGTAATGAGATCTTTGGTGGACGAGGGAGTATAGTTATGTAATGCAATCTATTATGGAGTATTATATACGAGTAATTTAAACTCATATCTCAATTAAAGTTGTATATTTATTGTTCAAATGGTCAATATTTAACCATGTTCTTGGCCCATTTTCATAATCCCTTTGTAAAATATATTAGTCGTATCTCTTCTTTTTTAAAAAACTTTAAATGTAGTTCTTAAATATATAAATTTTATTTTTTAATTTCTTTCTAAAATTCAAAAAAATAGAATGAAAAATAATTTCAATCAAACTCATAAATAAAAGGTAATTCAATTTGGGACAGATGGAGTATATTGGATAAGTTTAGATTGATAGAGGGATTATCAGACAAGAAAAATAAAAGAGAAGAAATGAGTATTTTAAGGGCACATTTGTTTTTATTAGGAATGCTCATTGCATGTGGAAGCACGGCAATAAAATTTGCAAGGGGTGAAGGGGACACATCCTCAAAGCCTAATGTTGTATCGGATGAGTGCAAGAAAATAATAATAGCAAACGTTTTGCGCTACAATGATGACAATTACTATCCGAAAGAAGTCAAACCCCTCACGCCTCAATGTTGCTCCCAAATGAGGGCATTGGGAAAAACTGGTTATTATGAGTTGGTTTTTACTGCGATTCAGAAATATGATTGGATGCTTGCTTATAAAGATTGGGTTTATTTGACTGAAGATGATTCGTGGAATAAATGTCAATCAATGTGAATATTACCCAGAAAAATGAATATTACTATATGGACTATGGTTTGATGGCGTGTTCTAAATTATGATTTTGTGATCTAATCTATAATTATATAATCTATACTCTATGTCACAATTTGAATTGTCCATTTATTATTCACATGATTAAACTTTAATTACATGCTTGCCCTATTTCCGTAATCCATCTAAGAAAATATTAGTCTTATAATTTCTTTTTTGAGTAATTTACCTAAATAGGACTAAAACATAATGACTTTTCCAATATAGGACCATATGTTTTAATTCCAAATGTAGGACCTTTGGTCATTATAAAGTAGTCATTATTTAAGTAAATTTCCATCATTATGGACATTATTCCTCCCACTAGGTCATTATTAAGTCTTATTTAGGGAATAAAAAAGTTTAAGTCCTACATTAGGAAGATCATTATGTTTTAGTCTTATTTAGTGCAAATTTTACTAGTTAATTTCAAGAAGATAAGTTTAAGAGACAAATGTTAAAATGGAACTGAAACTCCATTGTTCATTTATCACATGCCAACTTTCAACTGCAACCATAAGGATGTGGACAGTCTGGGATGAATTGCGCAGTTTTTCCATGAAAGTACCAGTCCGCAAACTGCTTTGCAATCGCCTATATGTTAAAAAATAAATTTAATCAATTACTAAATGTTGTTTAAATATAATTTAAAGTCTAAATACTCATATTAAACATTACAATTTCAATATTATAAATTTATCAATGCATTCTATATTGTAATACAATTGGTATATCAATTCCCCCAAAATATATAAATGAGTGAAGATAGTATCAATGGTACTCTTATTTCTAGTTTTGTGATGTTAATCTTAATTACTTTTTTTTAAATAACATGTAAATGAAATTAAAGTATCATTTACCTCTTTAGTATTAGCAGGGTTATGCCAAGTGGGCTGCAATAGATGCGTGTGAGCAAGCTTGGATAGAACCAGTAATCCTGTTGATGAAGTATTGCTTTGTTTTGGCAATACACCCAATAGTTCCATCCTTACATCTGCAATCATGTGAAAGAAAGCAATTAAATTATGGGCTATAAGCTTTCAAAATATATAAATATTGAAAATAGTTTGTCAATAAATATAAAAATCAGTACATTATTATTGCAAAAGCTACCAATTTAGCTTGTTGCAAATTAAAGAAATCAATCAAATATATTATTACTCTCTATTATGCATATTGGGTAAGCTATGATGACATTATGATTTGCAATATATACTAACCTTGCATGATTTTTATTTGTAGGGATGAACAATTCATGGCACGTACACAACCCGTATAATAAGTCCATGGAAGTCCCGTAGTATAAGATATCTAAATTAGACCAAAACTAAAGTATTAAATACTGCTTATACACATGTACACTTGATATATATATCTTTTTTTGAATGCGTACACTTGATATATGATTCAAAAGCAAATGTAAATCTGATGACTTACCTCAATATAATCAAATTGAGACTCTATAAAAAACATCGGCGTTTAAATATATTTCTTCACATTGTGCGCAAAGAAGCACTTGTGAAAAAAATGCAGTACATGCAAATTACAAAGTATAGGGGGTTAGCATAAAGCGATAGTATTATTACTGTCTTTGTATATATAGTATGGATATTAATTACTGAAATCAATAAATTGCACTTTCAATATATTAAAATATGCTAATAAACTCGTACCAATATAATGCTGGACTTAATTCTTGGGTACATGATATGGGCAATGCCTTGCTAGACCGCTGATAAACACAAAGACTTGTATGAATTACTTTCTTGGGTGCAGTGAGTGATTTACAAGACAATAAATTATGAAAAAATAACTAAATTGAAGTTTAGAGATGGTAAGAATACATACATGCATATGGATCAATCCGTGAAAGATGGATAAAAAGTGGCTTTGGTTCCCATAGTTGTACCTCTTCCTGTTAAGGAGTAATCAAACAAGCAATTGTGAGGAGTATATTTCGTAGTAATTAGAACGACATCCAAACATTATTTTAATTAGAACAAGAGGATTAATTAAGAAAAAACGTACGCAGGAAAGAAATATCCTGCATCACAGAGGCACTTCACTCGAGTAGAGTTCGGAAAGAGAGCTCGAAATTTGTCGCAGTGAAGCATTGTAGCAACACCTCCTGCTGACTCCCCAGCTAGAAGAGCCTATACCGAGCATTCCACATAATAATTATAATTATTAACAAAGAGAGTACACACACACACACACACATAACATATGAGCATAAGGTGAGTTTGGCTCTTAACAAGATCATCCTTACATTAGTAGCAGATCTCATTCCTTTTTCCAACAGCTCTTTCATAACTGCTTTGAAAATCCTAGCTCCTCGAAAATAGAGCATCGTATCCTTCAAACCATGGAAAACCAGCATAACAAAACTATGAATATGTGTGTAGATTATAATTAACACGGATGGGAGATTTCAGTAATATACACTGATACACATGTATATATGTGCTTACATTTTGAAATTTTTTGGAATTCCCAGTAATAGAGGATCCATCACAGTATCTTACATAGATTCTGTTCCAGTTGTAAAAATCTGAAACATCCAACAAATAAAACACAGAGACGAAGTAATTAGTTAGGTACTAAGAAAGCAATAATTAGTGCATTAATTATTTCCTCAATCATATTAAGTACTCTGTATGTAGTAATTAAGTACCTGGGTTTTCCAGTTTCTGGCTGCTTAAGGCTTCTCTTCCGTACGCCTGATCTGATTGAATCTGATCTGAATTTTTGAAGTTCTGATCTAATCTGATCTGATTGAGTCTGATCTGATCTGATTGAATCTGATCTGATCTGATTAGATCTGATCTGATCTGATTGGATCTGATCTAATCTGATTGGATCTGATCTGATCTGATTGGGTCTGATCAGATCTGATTGGGTCTGATCAGATCTGATTGGGTCTGATCTGATCTGATTGGGTCTGATCTGATCTGATTGGATCTGATCTGATCTGATTAGATTTGATTTTCTCTAATTAGATCCGGTGTAAATGAATTTAAATTTGATTTAAATTAAACTTAAAATTATTACAAAATTTAATAGTTTTAAAGTATTACAATTCATATATACATAAAAAAAGTAAAATAAGAAAATCAACTAATCATTAATATGTTTAAACTTTTTTTAATAATATTAAACATCTTTTCAATATCACAACTTTTTTAATTTTTGTGAAAACTAAATAATTAGTATTAAAATAAAAAAATATTAGAAAATATTGATGCTATTCTACAAAATTATCACATTCTATATACATATTACATAATAATATATTTCATGTTATAAATTAAAGATCATATAAAATTTTAAACACTCTTTCCATCATCTCCGATGGAGTCAAAATTTCACTATTTTTTGGCTTTGGGTGTGATGGAATAAATCAAAATGGATCTCTAAACTATTTGCGCTTCTTTAATTAATGAAGTAGCAGTTAGTCAAGCAATGCAACTTTCGACGTTGAGCCGGGGGTCTCTTTGGAAACAGCCTCTCTACTTTCGAGTAGGGACAAGGTCTGCGTACACACACCCTCCCCAGACCCTACTCTTGTGGGATTTAACTGGGTTGTTGTTGTTGTTATAAAATTTTAAACACTAATATCATTTTCACTTCTATCAATTTTGTCATAAACTCACCCTTGAGTATATTATACCATCTTAAAGTTTAAAAGTAAGTCTTTTTAAGTATAAAATATTTATAATTTTGAAAACTAAGCTTTGTATAATTATTTTATAAACAAGTATTTTAAAATAACTTTTTTTAAAGTATGAAAAATAAAACTTTTTAAGCTTTAACGTTGTTTCCATGCATCATTTCTATCCTACAAGCTAAACAATAATAATAATAATAATAATAATAATAATAATAATAATAACAACAACAACAACAACAATAATAATAATAATACAACAATAATATTTAAAATTATAATATTAATTAAGATTTAGGTGTGTGTAGTTTTAATTAAAGTAATGTGATTTAATCAAATAATAGTAATTATTATTTAATCCTTGAAAAATATAAATATTATCTTTTATATTTTTCTTGATTTGATATTATTGGATTTGATTTGGTCTGATCTGATCTGATTGGATCTGGTCTGATCTGATTGGATCTGATCTGATCTGATCTGATCCGATTTTAATAAGAATAAGTAATAAGTAGAAAAAATAAGTCCTACGGAACGGAACCTAAGATACCCAAAAAATTGTCTGCTGGAGTTGGATGGGATGGTGTACCGGTGCTGTGGGACAAATTGTATTCCACGCATGAGGTGAAGTTCTCGCACCAGCCACCTGACTAATAGTGTAAATTACAGTAATTAATTAATCAATTTTAACCATTTTCATTCATTATGGGGTAATTACGAGGAGTATTTGATTCGTACATAAATATATATACATACCGGAAGAAAAACAAGCCAGTTGTTGAGGGCATCTCCGGAGCCAGGGAGAAAGTAATAAGCTGCTCTGTTTCCCATCAAGCAAACTACACATGCATGCATTTGCACATACTGAAGAAGAAGAAGAAGAAGAAGAAGAAGAAGAAGAAAGGAAATGGTATAGCAGATATAATGTATGTAGTACCAGCTTTCTTGTCACGGAGGAAGGTGGGATTCACCAGCGTAGAGTTGTCTGTTTTCACACTGGTTTGGAAGCAGATAATAATGCTAACAATTAGGACGAGTTGAAGAAGAAGCTTCATAGTGTTGTTGTATTAGTATGTTGCAGAGAGAAGAGATCAGATATGCTTAATTGTATATGCTGGATGTGTGAGACTGATTGTGTGTGTGTATATATATAGAGTAATTTATAGAGGTAGCTATAGCTTATGGAGGCCTTGTATCTTCTAAATTATTACCGTGCTTCTTATTACCGGAGCATATTGGTAGAGGTCAGGATGGAAGCCAATGTGACAAGGCACGTTCGCAGTAAATAAACTCACTTTATGCATGTGTTGTGTGTACGTAACGTACATTCACCTATAATTTTATGGTCATATGCTCCATTTTTTTTCAAGTGCCTGATTCATTTTTCATGCCCAATACTTGATGATTAATATCTTCTAAAATCTATATACTCCTTATTAGCAATAAATTATTAAAATGATATGCTAAAAGCATGTTTTTTGATACAAATATAATGGTAAAATTTTAATATTTTAATTCCACTATTTATTGTAATATATATTATGAGTCAAATATTTGACACAAAAAAATGAACCGGACAATTTTTTAAAAAAAATGAAGAACGTTGAAAATAGGAATCTCCCTAATTATGCATTTCTACTTCTTGGCCCAACAGTGTCAAGTAGCTCAAATCCCAAAGGAAAGAAAAAAGTTACTATTTTCAATGAAATGGGTGTGTACGCATTTGGACCTTGCTTCCACTTCTCTGCCAATATAATCATTCACCACAATTCAATGAAGGTAATTATTGTACCTACTATAGTATGGGTCTTCTATTACGGAGTATTTTTTACCTCCTTTTATCATCATTACACCAAGTCCGTTTTAGAAAGAGAGGGGGACCCATAATTTTAGAACAACTTTTTTACAACAAATGTTACAAGAATGCCTTTGACTCTTTGAGCCATCTGCAATACTCCATTCGCAAAAAGGTTTACTATCACATTTGTTGTAAAAAAATGAATAAATTCCATAATTAATTCTTTATAACAAAGAAGTTTTAATATTTAATCTTCTATTATCAAATGTTACTTTCATAATCTTTCTTTTATGGGTGTCTTTCTACAAATGTACTTTTTTTAAATCTTCTGTCATGTTGGTATTAATTTAAAGACTAAAAATATAATTTAACATCAACCTTATGTCTAGTGACATATTTTCATGTTGGTCAGACAAATAACCAAAAAATAATGACTGATTGTGAGCTACGATTCCGACGAAAGATCACATCTGTATATTATGGTTGTAGTAAAAATGGACTAAAACTCACAAACGACGCATCAGGAGTGGCCTTTTAAAATTATGTATTACAAGAAAGATATATTATCATTGTAAAATTACACTTTTACCCTTCCAATTAACACCAACATGATACAAAATGAAAAAAGGACAATATGTGGAAATATTCCCATAAAAAAAAGGACTCATGTTATAAAGGACTAATTATGAAATTTACTCTAAAAAATTGTTGCATCTAATTTTAGTTTGCACTAACAAATACCTAAAGGACTAAAGTGTATGGACTTATTTTTTGCAAACCAAGAAAAGTTAAGATTAAATTTTGAATTTGTTGATAGATAAGGATTATTTGAGATAATTTCTACTTTTTTATAATTCTCTCCTTAATCCACAACAGAAAAAAATAGTACTATAGTTCCTTTCCAAAATGGCACTAAAATTTTTAGAGCGGTAATGTAATTATTTCCTATAAAAATTACACTCAAGAAAATATTGTGTGGAGGCTAAAATAATAAGTGTTGTTGTACTAAATTGAAAAAGTATATATCTTAAAAGAGAAATTACATCAAATAATTCCAAAAATGTATAGTATGAGAACAAAAAATGAATGAATTCAATACGTCTTGGGAAAAAATTGTGTTTAATGTTTACTCTGTCTGTCCCTGAGTATTTCTCTTCTTTTGATTTCTAGGCGAAGCGAGCAGACAATGTGTCCCAGTGATAGCACCTTATCGCCTAGGCGACACCTTACAAACTATGCTTTAAAAAGGAATTATGGATGTTTAATTTGACCAATGGATCATTACTCCCTCCATTCACATTGAAAGGAATAATATGACTTTTGTGAAACATCAAAATTTGAATAAATATTGGTATACATCATGTCATCATGTCTATATTTTTTTCAAATGTTGATGTATTACAAAAGTCATAATTGTTGGTTAAATGTAAATGGAGAGAGTAAAAAATAAGCTTGAGCTCATTAAATAAATCCACACAAATAGTTTTTCTATTTATCAACCTATATAACTAAGGCATACCTCCTTCTAATGTCTGTGTTGACATTACTCATCTTTTCCGGCAGATTGTCATGCCATCGCCGATCGGCACCTAACAATAAAGAAGAGAAACACATTTAAGCTGGCACAGAGAAATGTGAAACCCAGGGCAAGCTGCATATAGAGCAGAGTATCCTTCGCATCTTTACCATGCTGATATCTACACGTTTATCCTTAAACAAGCTCTCGTTGAAACTCCGAATGCTAACCGTTGTGGAATCATTTGCCTGCTCAAAAAAACACTCATGAGAACAACATATTTAGGACTTTGTTTTGGAACAAAGTTTGGGGTTAGCATTTTAGATAACTTTTTACAACCAATCCTCTATTCACACCAAGAACCAATGTCATAATATGACACTGATCCAGTTGGGGATCCTATAGTTCTCCGTTTGATCCTGAACTGGTTCCTACGCTTCACCCAATATGAGTGACAATCCACTATCAAATTTTTGACAACAAAGATTTGCTTAAACGCTAAAAACTAAAACTAAAAGCTACAATTGGAAAATGTTTTCAAAATGTTGAACGGTTGAACCTAAACGTCAAAACTAATGCCAAAGAGAACCAAAGCCAGTTTATATCATAGGAAGGATTGGTTTTACCAATGTATCAGCAACTCTCCCATGCCAAAGCACATTGTCCACTACAATGACCCCTCCAACCCTTACCTGTAGATCCCAATATATAGAAGAAAAGTGTCATGCCCTTTCTAGTTGCATTACATGTGCAATAATCCTTGTTAGGCATAGCTGAGTACATCAAATTTTATATAAGGCTAAGTATTTGGTAGCAACCATTTCAGTCAAATAGGTAAAGTAAAAAAAACTATCTGAATTCTTCTGATAAGTAGAATAAGCCTTAGTAAATCCATATCACCGAATAAACAATTATGCAACTTACCAGCCTTAGTAGCAACTCAAAGTATTCATGATACATTTTCTTATCGGCGTCAATGAAAGCAAAGTCATAACTGCAAAAAGTACAAAATATGTCATCATTCTTAAGATGTGAATGAAGCCTCAATTTGCCCAATAGTTCAAAAGAATTTAAACAAGACACCTTTATTTGATTTCTGTTTCAATTGAAAAGGATCAAACAATTTCTTCAAAATAAAAAGTAAAAAAACTACTTTTAGACTATGAATACCTGCAACCTTCACCATTATGAATCATAGAGTGTAGAGTATCAGCTGCTTTGCCATGTCTCACATCCACCTAATATCATTTTTTATGCCAATAACTTTATCTATAATAGCATACACTATTCACAAAAGATTTATAATAATAATAATCATAATCATAATCACCTTGCTAGATACACCAGCACGGTCATAATATCTCTTTGCAACCTCAATTGATTTTTCATCTCTCTCGCAAGCAACTAGGCATCCTTGCTCTGGAAGAACTAAAGCAACTGCCAATGATGAGTATCCCTGGACAGAGAAAATTTAATAAAATAACTGAATAAGTGGCAAATATTGAAACCACCATCATCAATAGAATGGAGTGCTCATAACAATCTGATTATTACTGTTTTTGAAATGTTATAATAAGGATAAAAGAGAAAATGCATCAGTTCAGTAATGTGACGACTAATATGCCATTTGGTCCCAATCAATGTTTCAATATCAGTTAACCTTTAAATGATTTTCAAGAAACTATAGAACCATTATGATCATTGCAAAAAGAAAAAGAAAAAAAGATGCAGCTATATCGATATACTCTACAGAATGAAATCAAGCACTCTTGTGAACTACAGCGGATTTTTTGATGAACAATCACTAATCAAGAAAATGTTGATCAATAATCAAACTAAATGGATCTGAATGCATACGGTAAAGATGCCAACTTCAATACATCTTTGTGCTCCTTGGATCTGGACAAGGATTGCAAGAAGTTGTGCTTGATCAGGGGAAACCTATATATCAGTAAACCAAAAACCACTCATTCAATAATATCAGCACATTCCCAGGAATCAGAAATAAAGTAAACTATTCATGGATTTATCAAAAGAAGTAAGTGAAATCATAAACAGGATGTGACAGACTGCTTACTTGCATTTGACTACCCCGAAGCGTGGCAGTTTCCTCCCTAAGTTCACACAAAATCTGAAAGCAACACAGAGCATATACTCCATATTAGATACTCTCTTGGGAAAATAAATCTCTCCTAAGTCC